AGGTGAGGACTTGGGACCTGCGGCAGGGGTGGGGGCAGTGGGGTTCCCGTCTCCTGCTGACATCCCCCCTGCTCCCCAGGTCCAGCATTGCGGTCGCGTTCTGACCTGGGTGGCCGAGGCCCTGAGTCGCTCTGCCTTGCTGCCCCCGGGTGGGCCGCCTCCCCCAGTCCCGCCTGAGTCAGAAGGTTGGTGTGTGGGATCTGTGTGTGCACAGCCTCCTGGAGTTTGCATGTTTTTCTCGCGCTCTGCCCTTCCGTTGTCCCTGGGTCACTCCCTAGGTGTCCTTGGGGCTTTTTGTGCTCCTTTCTCCGTGTTTCCTCTTTTTGCCAGTCTTCCATTTTTTCTGGCTCTCTTTTCCCTCCCAATCACCTACTGTTTCTTCTCTCTGCCTCCCAGACTGAGCCCTGCTGGCGGACTTCAAGGAGTAGCCTTCACAGGGGTGTTTTGCTCCTAGAGTAAGGCCCACCTGGGCCTGGGTCTCCACACCTGGTGGCCTTGTCCTTGAGGTGGGACCCATGCCCAAGGTCCACCACCTGGGCTGCTGCTGAGATCACCTCAGGAAGTGTCATACGTGTGAGCCACAGCATGCCCGGCTCCTCCCAGAACCAGCCCCACTCTGGGAGGATCAAGCACTGGAGCCCAGGTCGGTGCCCCTCCAAGGGCCCTGCCACAGCAGGGGGAGGCTGGAGGGTCCTCAGAGTTTAGGGACCACAGACCCCACTCACAGCTTCTCCTCACTGGGGAAATAAAGCACTTGAGAGAAATCATATCTGGATGCTTGATTCTTGGGGAACTGTTGGGTATCTACTGGGATGGGAGCTGGAGCTAGGGTGGTGGGTTGCGGTCCTCGGTGGACTTGCTAGTATACTGTGTGCATCTTTGGGTCCACTCGCTCCTCTTAGCCCCACTATTCCCGCCCGACTCAGACCCAGCACCTCTCGTCTGCCCAGTTTTGATGACTCTCACGTCAAGAGGGCAAGAACCCATCTGTACCCCTCTAGCTTCTACTTTCCAGTGGAAAAATAACTCCGTGATAATGAGCGAATTATCTTCTGGAGTAGGGGTGGGTGGGTGGTGTGTACATCTGCTCTGGCAATAGGGAGATGGAGGATGCAAATTTGAGTAGATAAATGCATATGTGTCTTTAAAAAGTCTAATTAGTGGAAAATTGCAGGCCAGGCACACACAGGGTTGAGGCAAATGTGCATCATTACACATGCAGTTTAACTAAATAACCCATAACAAACTAAACTGATAATGCCAAGGCTGAACTGACAGCAATTATTAGTTAAATAGCAAGAAAGCCTCCAACAACCAAAACATCCAAAAATCAGACCAAAACATCCTTCCTCCAAATTGGAGGAAATCCAAGCATCTGTCACGTTGGGTGCAGAATGGCTTTGAAACATTGCCAAGTGTTGTGTGGCAACCAGACTTCTCTGGAAGATGCTGAATTAGTTCCCAGGAACCCAAGTAATGAGCATGGTGGTAATAACAGCAGCAGCAACATAGCTAACATGCACAGAGCACTTCCTCTGTGTCTGGCATTGTGCTAAGTGCTTTGCGTATACTCAGTGAGAGAATCCTATGATACCCATATAGGTAGCTAATATTGTCTCCGTTTTGCAGACGAGAAAATTGAGGCACAGATAAGTGACTCACTCAAAGTCACACAGTGTAAGTGACTGAGTTGGAACAGAAATCGGGGCAGTCTGGATCCAGAGCCTTTGTAATGCACTGATTTGTCTTTGGAAATGTCAAATGCTGTGAATCCACAGGAACTTACTCAATTCATGTGTGGGGTTCAAGCTTGTTGAGCAAAATCCAAACTATATAAAATATGTAAAGGGCTTAATTCTGAGCCAAATGTGAGGGACCTAAGCCCATGGCACTGTCCCAAGAGGCCCTGAGAACGGGTACCCCAAATGGTTGAACTACAGCTTGGTTTTATGCATTTTAGAGAGACTGAAGTTACAGGCAAAACATAAATCAATACATGTGAAGTTTGCATTGGTTGGCCCTGAAAAAGTGGGACATCAAGTGGGGGAAGATTTTACAGGCCATGGGTGGATTCACGGATTTTCTGATTGGCAATTGGTAGAAAGAGTTAAGCTCTGTCTAAAGAACTTGAAATCAGAAAGCCAGGGTCCTTGTTATGTAGGCGAAGCCTCTGAACTGCTGGCTTCCGAGACGACGGGTGGTAACTGTCTTACAGGGTGTCAGATCTTCCTAGGAAAGGACATCCTCTACAGATGCAGATTTCTCCAAGAGATGGCTGGGCAGGGCCACTTCAAAATATGTCAAAGAAACATTTTGGGTGACATGTTTGTGTTTCCTTTTGGGTGGTGCTGTCATGCGATGCCATACCAGAGTCAGGTTGGAATTGGGCATCTTCCCGCCACAGGGTCTGTTTTGCCAGTCTCAGAATCTCTTTTTTTTTTTTTTTTTGAGTTGGAGTCTCACTCTGTCGCCCAGACTAGAGTGCAGTGGCCGCTCCCAGCCACCGCAGCCTTGGGCTGCTGGGCTCTGGCGATCCTTCTACCTCAGCCTTCCGAGTAGCCGGAATTACAGGCGCGCACTACCAGACCCAGCTGAGTTTTTATTTTTTGTAGAGATGAGGTCTTGCCAAGTTGCCCAGGCGGGTCTCGAACCCGCGGGCTTAGGCAATCCACTCACCTCAGCCTCCCAAAGGCACAGGATTACAAGGATCTCTATTTTAATGCTAATGCTGGTCAGTTGTTCCTAGAACTCCACAAAGGAGACATGTCCAACCTCCTTTCTTATCCTGGCTTGGAATTTAGTTTTTCCAGTCTCCCTTGGCCAAGAGGGTGTCCGTTCAGTCAGTTGGGGTCTTACAATTTTATTTTTGGTTTACAAGCTTTTTGGTCTCTCAGCTTCAAATTCACCCTTCTCATCTCTATGATGCTGGGGCAGAGACTCTGCAAGCCATGTTTCCACTTGGCTAGATGGGTTCCTATGAGGCCCAGCCTGAGAAGGTGCTGGAAAGAGACTGGCGATTGGAGGAGGAAGAAGGGACTTGCTCCTTGCTCCTTCCCGTTTGCTTCAGGCTCCCGAGTCGTCCCAGAACAACGCTGCCTCTGACAGCAGCAGTTGCTTCCATATTTCAGCTTTTTCTCATTTTTGGCACTTCTAGAACCAGTTTCATTGTCTGCCTTCGATCCCACTGGCCCTATCCAGGCAGCTCCTCTTTCTTGTCCAGGTTTCAGCTGGACAGGGCTGCTTCTCCAACATTTTAGCTTCTGATAACTCTATTTTCAGTCCTGGAGTGATTATTTCTGTATCATGAGGTTATTCCTATTTCTGTGCTAACTAGGTTTCTTTTCACTCCTCTCCCAATTTTCTGAGACCTGTTTTAATTAATTAATCTCTGTTGAAATAGCTATAAAACAGGAAAACTCCAGGTCTGGTGTGTAGAAGTCTGCCATGTGTGATCAAATGGAGAATTACAACCTCAAGCGCTAATCCCACACACAAACTAATTTGAAGACCAAAGTCCTTTAATTGAGAGGAGGCTAGTACTCTTGAGGAATTACCCTAAAGCTCAGCTACAAGTTTATATCTTAAAACTTCCCTTCAAATGGGACTTTGTATCCATTTATGAGGTAACTGTGGGTTTTGAGTCTGTATGTTGGGAAAAGGTAAACAGACCTTTTGGGGACTAGTAGACTCTGGCCTTGAACTGATGATTCTTTGGGATCCAAATGCCACAGTAACTTATTAAAGTGAGAGCTTATGTTGGTCAGGTGATAAATGAAATTTTGGCCTTAGTACATTCTCCGTGTGAGTTTAGTGGATCCCAAACCCAGACCAGGTGCGGCGGCTCACGCCTGTAATCCCAGCACTTTGCAAGACTGAGGCAGGAGGAGCATTTGAGGCCTGGAGTTTGAGACCAGCCTGCGAAACATAGCAAGTCCCAGTCTCTCAAAAAGAAAATTAAAAATTAGCCAGGCGTGGGGGTGCATGCCTGTAGTCCCAGCTACTCAGGAGGTTGAGGCAGGGAGCTGACTTGAGGTCAGGAAGTGAAGGCTGCAGTGAGCAATGATTAGGGCCATTGCACTCCAGCCTGGGTGACAGAGTAAGACATTGTCTCTAAAATAAAGTAATAATAATAAAACAGAATCAAAACCCATTTTAAAGTTTATTTTCTGCATTTATCATTGTTTGAGGTATACTCGACTACTAGAAAAATGCCCAGTTTTGCTCTCTACCAATGCAGTGAGGTCTATTATGATAGTAAGGACCAGGAGAACGTCTCTGAAACCTTCCCTCTCTAGAAGCAAGAAAAACAAGGGAAGATGCAGGAGTGGTGATGATTTTCACATCTTAGTTCAACCCACCTCATGTGGCCCAGGCAGAAAGTGTGTAGGTCTTAGACAGCGACTGTAAAGTATCAGAAACTTAATTCCATTAGTGAGTCTGATTATAGTCGCCTTTCTAGAGGTGGTGTCTTTGTCAGATCAAGTCAACACAGTCCCTAGTGCTTGGTGTTCAGCCACAGACCTGGCAAATTCTCTCCCCACCCTCTACCACCTTGCAAGGATCCCCAGAAGTAGTTTGCCTTTATCTGGAAGGACCAACAGTATACCTTCATGGTCTAGCCTTAGGACTGGGTCAACACTTCTGCCCTCTGATATCATCTAGCTGTTAGATGTCTTGATCATTTTAGCATCCCACATAATACCACACAGTTCCACTGCATTGATAATATCATGTCAATTAGACCAACATAAGCAGGAATTAGCAAGCACCTTAGATGCCTTAGTTAGATAAATAAAAGCCAGAAGATAGAAAGTAAACCTAATGCAAATTCAGGGATCTGACACCTCTGGGAGTTTTCTAGGAGCTCAGGGGTCTGGAGCATGTTGGAAATCTTCCATACTAGGAGAAAGAGAAGTCACTGCATTTTGCATCATGCACTACCATAAAAAGAGGCTTGGCTGGGCTCGGTGGCTCAGCCTGTAATCCCAGCACTTTGGGAAGCCGAGGTGAGTGGATTGCCTGAGCCAACGGGTTTGGGACCCACCTGGGCAACTTGGCGAGACCTCGTCTCTAGAATAAATAAAAAATTAGCCAGGCATGGTAGCGCACACCTGTAGTTCCAGCTACTTGGAAGGCTGAGGTGGAAGGATCACCTGAGCCCAGCAGGTAGAGGTTGTGGTGACCGAGAGTGTGCCACTGCACTCCAATCTGGGCGACAGAGTGAGACTCCAACTAAAAAAAAAAAAAAAAAAAAAAAAAAGAGACTTAATACTTTTGGGCCCTCCTTAGAGGCAAAACATACCATATCTGAATGTATTCTCCAATTCATTTAGTGAGCAACCCATAACAAGTCCAGTTTGGAGTGTGGTCCAGGTCGAGGGATGGCTCTGCAATTGCTGTCAGCTGTAGTTTGGGCAAGAGGTCACATGAAACTCATGTAGCAAATAGAGATGATCTGTGAACCTCCCGAGAGTGCCAGTAGGAGCATTTTCCAGCATCAATTCTTAAGGGTTTTGGAACAAGGCCATACCATCTTCTGCATATAAAAACTTTGACATACCTGGCCACAAAACATCAAACAATTGGAAACCTGAGTTGACCATCATCAAGTGGGTGTAATCTGACCCACAAACGCATCAGACTGGGCATATGCAATTGCAATCTTACATGTGGAAATTTCACTAAAGCCACTCTAGCAAGTGACCAGACAGATGGCCAAACTTGAGTGGGAGCTCCTTTAGCAAGAATCCTTTAAATTAAGCTC